TCATACAAAAGCTTGATTGTGTGTCGGCTTTTGTCATGATAGCAGGACAAGATGATGTTATGGGTTGTTGGCCGTTTTGGAAAAAAAAAGGGGGGGGGGCAGAGGAGTAATGTTGCCTTTTTTTGTCATTTAGCTATTTTTAGGAAAGATCACAAGACAAGATTAATATGAACTTGAATATTTAATCAATAGAAACAGTTCAAACTCTAGACTCCGGTTGTGGGTGAGTTTTACTAATAATTAATTTCCTTGGCACAAATAAAATCTTATGAATTTTTCGAAACTTATATTGTAATGCTCTTTCTTGTTTTCGCAACAACTATTTTCAGGAAAATATTTGTTGGGTTAATGTCACAAAAATCCTCAAGTTTATAGGAAATTGTCAATTTTACCCAAAGTTGTTTATTTATGTTCGTTAATGCCTCATATTTAGCTAAATTTTTATCACTTTTGGACATTTATCCGGTTTTGCTCTCCCTAGCCGGTCAACCAAGCCTCGTGGATGCTTACTTGGATTCATTTGCCGACGTGACAACTGACATAATATGTCACGTCTGACTTGACACACTCATAAGATAAAGGGAAGCGTTGCTAAAGAAAATTGGCAACATTAAGGCATCGCCTTTAACCACCAAATCTGGGGAGTTTTTGATATCTTTATCTCTGAATTAATATATAATCTGATTAACTGGAACCTTTTATAACAATAATAATAACAACAATGCATCAATTATATATAAAAAACCAGAATGAAAAACATGAAACTTTTGTTGGCTTGGCGGTAAGGCGCTCGCCTTTTGTTTCCTGTGGTGCTAGTTTGAATCTCACTTCCTACATTTTCTTCACCTTAGCGCCATTATTTTTCTTGTCCAAGTACCAAGCTGACGTGACACTCCATGTCATCACTTATCTCCACACAAGCATCTGTGACCGGAAAACCTTACAGAAGGGCAAAAATGATAAAATTAATTCAAATGTGAGCATTAATGGACATAAAATTCAATTATAGGGAAACCCGACAAAAGCTTACAAATTTGAGAATTTTTATGGCATTTTCACATATTTGTTTCTCAAGTAATATCTTTCTTTTATATTTTTTTATTCTTGATAAACACATCTATAATTATTACACATTTTCTTTTCAATTCTTTGACAACGTGGTACCATGGGTGCCACATTTCCCATGTGAAAAATACATTCATAGTTATAGTTTTTTATTTTTGGTTTTTTCATTATGATTTACCAAATTGCCTATTTGTTCTTCAATGTATAAATGCCCAATCCTTACAAACATGAGCACAACTTTCTACACATGTTTTGAACTTATTATGTGATGACGAATGATTGGAATCATAAAACCAACCGCAATAAAAACAAGTTGTGAAATATCTATTATAATAGTTGTCTAAATATTTTAATAATATTCATTTAAAACCTACAAAACTTTTTTATTATTCTGATTTTAATATTAACTCTTCACATTTCAACATAATATATATATATATATATATATATATATATATATATATATATATATATATGCTGAAATAATTTAATCATATTCATTTGAAACCTAGAAAATTTTTGGATCTTTTATTTTATTTAATAAATTAAACTCCATTATTATTCTAATTTTAATATTAACTCTTCAGATTTCAACATAATATTTAATTTAATTATTTAAATTGGTTTACCCTTAAATATTTTATAACATAGTCTTTTTTATTCTTAACCATCGTCATTTGAAACTATCATGACCTTCAACTTATATAAGAATCACTACACCTTAATTATTTTTAATTAATGATACTTAATTTTGTTAATTAAAATGTGTTAGAGATACAATTATATTGATTTGTTTATTATAGAATTCCATTTTTATTTTTCATATTACCATAATGATTCTAGACATAAAAAATGATCTATCAAATTTACAATTGTTGAATACAACGGTTTGTGTTGCTATATGCTTATTATATACATGTTTGCCTAAATCACAATTTTTAAATTATTTCGTATATGGATAATAAATAGAGACATATACATAGGCGTTTGAGGTTGCACTAAGTCGAAATCGTTATAAAGTAGGGATAATGACTTAGGAGGGTAATAAGGTTTCCAGTTTGTCCGTATTAGGTCACTAAGGTTTTTTTTGTGCCTATTAGACCAATATGGTTGTTATTACCGTTTAGAAATAGTCCTTTTTACCGGTTAAAACCGGTAAAAATGACTATTTCTAAACGGTAATAACAACCATATTGGTCTAATACGCACAAAAAAAACCTTAGTGACCTAATACGAACAAACTAGAAACCTAATTACCCTCCTAAGTCATTAACCCTAATTATTTAGAAAACATGCTTACTAATCAATGTGACTGACTTGTTTGACTAAAAATAGTTTCTTCCATTTAAACTTATCTCACAACCCTTCCAAAACTTCTAAGTCCAAAAACTCATATGATTGATGATCTTCATTACATAAATATGCAACATTTTATCAATAACTTCTTTTTTGTCATTTAAATGTTTACATGAACACATTCATATGTACAAATACAATCTCACTTTGATACCTCCCATCAATGTCTACATTTGATAACGAATGAAAATGTAAAACCAACAAGGACTTGCAGAGGTTGCCTATTATCAATTATTTTATAAAAAGCAAAACCACAATATGAACTAAGAAACTGAAGTTGCAAAATTAATCAAAAATCAGCACATAAACAAACACATACATACTATATACAACACATAAACGGAAGTTTATAAAGCATGAAACTTAATGACAGGAAAAGTAAAAAACTTAAAGGAGACGTTGTAAAAAGAAAGATCACCCTTACTTGCCACAAATGGTTGAAGACATCAACAAGAAGATCAATTTGACCATGGAATCCACATGTTGTCTGATCATGACTTCAGTAGATGAACTACCGAAACATAAGAATTGCAATTGACTCTATTAGCATTTGAAAATGGAATTAGGGTTCCAGAGAAGACGACGAAGGGTTAAAAAAAATTTGGACCATTTCTCAATTTGTGTTTGTCATCCTTGCGCAGGGGCCATGCTAATCTTCTCTGTATCGTTCCAATTTTATCGGATGTCCCCAAAGGGACGACTATAGATGAAGAGCTTCGCCATATAGAGGAGTAGCAGGTTATATGGGACGACGCGAGTTCTAAACGAATTAGTTTGCTGTTAATGGTCATATATTCTCAATGTGTTTAAATTTAGGGTTAATGACTTAGGAGGGTAATTAGGTTTCCAGTTTGTCCGTATTAGGTCACTAAGGTTTTTTTTGTGCGTATTAGACCAATATGGTTGTTATTACCGTTTACAAATAGTCATTTTTACCGGTTAAAACCGGTAAAAGGACTATTTCTAAACGGTAATAACAACCATATTGGTCTAATACGCACAAAAAAAACCTTAGTGACCTAATACGGACAAACTGGAAACCTAATTACCCTCCTAAGTCATTATCCCTTATAAAGTATTTTCATATGCATCAAGATGTTGAGATTTGTTTTCAAAATTAACAAGGCATGAAAAGGTTAATTGTAAGGTGATGTAGAGTAAGGGTACCTAACACTCAGTTAAATTAGATTTGGGTTAGAAAACTAGATGGTGGTAAGTGAATTAAAAATATTAGAGAATGTCGGTGGAGTCATTTGTCATATTTTTTCTTCTAATTCTTCATTTTCAAAATTCTTCTTTACACAAAGAATGCATGGGATGTATCATTGTGTGTAGGTTAAAATTCTATTTGTTATGATTTTCACTACTGAATTTTATTCCTGCTCAACACGCGAAGATATGCCTAGTATATCTAATAATATATGCATATTTCCAAACACCACATTCATTTGAAACTCTCACTACATATCATAGAGTTTTCTAATTTATGTATACTTACAATTCAAGAGTTTTTAACTTATGATTATCAATTAGTAATGACTAATGCCTTTTTATTTTACTCTCATTTATATATTTTATAATTTATATTAGTAGTATATAAGTATGTTTTGATCACAAAAAAAAATATTCATATGTTTGAAAATATTTTTGTGATTCAAATATGAAGAGTTAAAAAAATAGTTTTGTTGAATCTTGGGATAATAATGTTTCTATATATCAAATGTATGTTGATTTTTGTATATTTCTTTTGTACAAATTGTACTAATACATATTTTATAATATATGTTTTAGTGTTTACATGTTATTAAAACTTATAGTATTTATTTTTTTGTACTATTTATTACTCGTTATATATATAAATCAACATACGTTTGATACATAATTTACACAACTTTAATGGTCTATAAAATTATCAATTAATGGTATACATCACCATTGGTTTAAAACTATGAAGAATATAATTAATAGGTTAACTATAAGTTTGTTTTACTACTTATTGTTTTTTAAAGTAGAAATTTTTAATAATAATTTGTTAAAAGTTATTATTTTAATTATATAATTATATTTTCGCACAACACGTGGGGATTCGCCTAGTTTTTGTACGTAAATGAAAAGGAAAAAGAAAGAGGATCGAGAAAACATTTCATTTACTTGGAGTCACTTTAAAATAACATAGATATCTCAAAGTTTAAAAACTTTATATTGGCTTTACATGGGCGAATAATTCAATAAATCAATAAAATGCTTAAGATAAAAAACACAAATAATATGATATCGTTTTTGATGAGTTTTGTAGTTTTTTTATATGGTTTCAATGATAAAATAACATGAATGTACTTAACATTTTTAGTAAAATGAAAAACAAAGAGAAAAGTGTGATGGTTTTGTCAAATCATTTAGGTGGTATAATATATATCATAATAATATTTTTATGTATTTTAAGACGCAACATTATTTATTCATTTATATATTAACTACCTTGTTAAATTTTGCCACAACTTAAATCCCTATATATACATGTGATTGAGTTATCAATTATCGTAAATTATTGATATAAAATTTGAAAAAAATTATCCCATATGATGGCAATTAAGCTTTTTGTTGGTATATTTTTTGGGTTTTTGATTTACACAGCGAACATTGCTTATTGTAGAAAGCTTGTTGGAAAGGAAAAGTTATCCATTGCATATGGTGAGGCTACAAGTGAGATTGGTTGTTCCATAGGAGACATGACATGTGGAGGAGGGCATAAGTATAACAGAAAAGATTCGCTCAAGGAAAATATTGGAGGAATGTTTGGGGGAGGTAATCGAGTAAGCGATGCTAGTGCTAATAGAGAAAGTACTATGAACATACAAGGAGGGGAATGTGTGACTAATGATGTTGGTTGTAATGATGTCAGCACACAAAACATAAACACCAAAAAGAAAAGCTACATTAACAAAAATGGCTACCCAAACATTGAAAACAACGATGTCGTGAGTAATAATAGAAATAACCTTAACGGAAATGGTAGCAACAACAATATCGGAAACAGAAGTGGCAGCAACAATGGTGTCATCAACGGAAACATTAACCAAAGCGGCAACGAAACTGTCAACGGTTCCGGTAGTGGAAATAACAATAGCGTTGGAATTGGAGACGGAAGCGGAAATGGTAACAATGCTTTCAACTATAGTGAAAGATCTCCTCGAGCTCCTAATTCAAGCTGATTATCTTCAATTGCAAATCCAAATTTAAAATAAAGTGGGAGCAAACATCTTACTATGCATCCCTATCTATATTTAAATAAACATCAAGTAAACATGGATGGTTTGACTTGATATTTAAGTTGCATGTTTTATATATATATATATATATATATATATATATATATATATATATATATATATAATTAAAGAAATAAATGAATGAATGATATCATATCTTTATCTCTCATATCCATGTGTGTACTTTTTATCATACTCAAACTATAACTTTAGATCATAACTAACAAGACATAAATATTTTGGATCCCCAAATTATCTTTCTAAACAATCTTAATCATCCCCACAAAACTTATAATGAATGATTCATTATTTATAATTAACCATCATCTTGGTGGCTTACTAGGTAAATATCGGGCAACCCATAGGGGAAGTCTCAATTTCAAACATTGAGGATTTCAATTAATGGATGACCACAAGAAAGGTGTGTGACCGTAACGCCTGCAAGATAGGGCTATATGATTAAAGAATAATATGATAATTATTCATCACAACGATAAATAGATGTTTTCAATAGAAGATTATTTAGGAAAAATAATCTAAAAGAAAGTCATAGTAGTCGTTAAAGCGAGAACGTGCAAATAAAGAACGTCCAAATATGACTTCATAAGAGGGAGTTATGATTTTTCGGAGTATTTAGCGCAACTGTATTAGCATAGAAACCGAAATTCAAATCAGTCGATTGTTAGAAAAAACATTCTAAACGGGAGTCGAAGATCTCGTCAATACATATCAGTCGATATAAAGACAGTCGAGAACGGATATAGTATAACTGTATAACAGAGTTATGATTTTTATATGGACTTTAACAGTCTAAGCCCGTTAAAAATAAAAATTTAAAAATAAAGTGAGAATTAGCCGACATAGCTACACATGGATATAAAGAACGTCAAAAACTAAGCTCGTATGAAAAAGATATGATTTTTTGAAAAATCAAAAATTCACCTCAAACTGCTGAATCTCTCAGATAAAATATCGGTCGGCTGATCCGGAAAATCCCCGCACTATCATCATCAATAATATCCAATTAATAATTGGATCTCGACCCATAATCAAGAATCTACATTATTTGTCCGACATATAGGGTAAAAGTGTTGGATTATGTATCTAAGCCCATAACTATAATTGGTATGTACTTGAATTGATAGCAGCACAGTCCTTTTGGGTTGCCCTCAAACCTAGCAACTAGACAAGGAAATTATGAAAGGAGAGATATTGGTTTATTATAAGATTAATAAACTAATATAAATGATTTATTAATCTGTTAAAATATTAATATATTAATTAGAAATCATAAGGTTTAATTAATAGTTAGCCAAAAATTAATTAGAATTAATTTTGGGGTTAATTGTATTAATTATAAAGTGCAGAGACTAGTTTGCAATTATCAAATAGTTGAGTGGAAGGTTCCAGAACCTCCTTGGAAGGGGGTGGACGAAATCTATAAGGGAAACCCTAATGATTTCGTACAAGGGGCTTGGATAAACCCTAGATCCCTCAGCTATATAAGGAGCCTCCTTGCTCCCAAAATTGGCACTCCTACCTTGGAAGAAACCCTAGGCCGATTTTTGTATACCCTAGCCTCCCTCCTTACAAGTTTCCTTCTTGCTAGCTCTTGGGTGTGATTCCATTAGAGACATTACATTTGTGGTGCTAAGCTTCCAAGAAGATCAAGATCAAAGGATTGTCAATTGTTTGCTATAACAATTGAAAGGTATGTAACTCTTAAACCCTAATTGGTATTTCCGAAAATAGCCTCTCTCCTTAGGGTTCTTGTTTTGCAATTCAAAGTTATATGTTCAATAGTTAAAACATAGATCCAAAGTAGGTTGCATGTGAACTTAGGAATTGTTTTCTAGTTTATTTGTTTTATCTAAAACCCATCATGGTATCAGAGCCATTGGTTTTGTTTTTAAATTGAATAGCTATAATAGTTGAATTGCAAATTAGGGTTTATAGCTATTAAACCCTAAAAGGCCATGGTTTCGTTTTTAGGGTTTTTGGTTCAAAGGGTTTTTCGAAAAACCCTAGCCTCCATGAACCCTAATCGAAATTAGGGTTGGGGTTTTGGAAAACCCTAGCCTCCTCCCTTGAATTTCGAAATTTGCTTCTTATTTTAGGGTTTTATCTTATTTTGGATAATTATTGCTTTATTGGATAATTATTGCCTAATTGGATAATTGAGAAAAATAAGGAAATTATCCTTTACCCTAATTTTCGAAATCTAGAGGGATAAGGATTAGGATTAAATTAATTGTTTAATTTGATTAGATAATCCTTACAAGATTTAATAAATTAATTAATAGATAATTATTAAATCTAGTTATTTGGTTTTTATTAAATTTAAATTAATAGTTTAATTTTTCAAAATTTATATAAACCTTAAAGTTTTAAAAAGTTTAAAACACACCTTATATATGTATTATAATTAAAAGTTAAATATTATATATGTATAAGAAAATGGTCAGTCAAATCGCTAGTATGCCTCATTCACGAAGCTAGTCTATAAGGGGGTATAAGGAAATTGCCTATAAAATGGTAGTTGAATGGGTGTCCACTCTCGCCCACCGCTTCCTTGATTAGTGGAGGGTCGTTAGCAGAACAGATTTGATAGGACAACTAAATCTCATTAAAAGTATAATGTTATTAAGAAAGTACTAGAGCATTATTTTACAAAATCCCAACTCTAGTTACTTTAGGAAAAATGTGAAAAAGTATGCTAACCCATTAAATTGCACATTATGCTTTATTGGTCGTTAGTGGAGCATGTGTGGTTAACCATCACACTAATAGGCACTAATAAAGAGTAGTAATGGGTATCTCATAATTATCATTTTGATGGAGCGTGTGTGGTTTACCAGCACATCAATAGTTAATGATACAACTCAAAGTATACGTCCATACGATTCCAAAAATATAGAGAACGCCTGAATCTGACTTCGCATGAAGAAGTTATGATAAACCGAACACTATTGTAACACCGTAATTTTTCAAACAATTTTTCAAATTTTAAAAACATATTTTCAATCACAATATTATAAAAATCTCATTGTATCACATAACACTCCATAAAAACATATCCCAAGATCATAAGTATAAAAAGCTCATCATGTGTGTACTGATCATGTCGGCGCCTTCACGCGATCCTCACTGGTACCTAAAACACATAACACAACACTGTAAGCATAAATGCTTAGTAAGTTCCCCAAAATACCACATATAAAACATATTAGCCACTCGAGGCTATAACTCTGTGGACCCTCCGGTCCTAACTCTGTGGACCCTCTGGTCCTAACTCTGTGGACCTTCTGGTCCTAACTCTGTGAACCTTTCGGTTCTAACTCTGTAACTCTGGAATACACACAGCATATATCACATAGAAATAATGCAGTGAAACACATCACATACATAGCATACAAGATACTCTATCACATAACTGTATTACCACTCAAGGTAAAATATAGTGAGAAGACTCACCTCGGGTAACTCGGTAAATCTCGAACTCTGAAGTACTGCGCTAGCCTTCGCCTAATCACATAAATAATTACTCTAATTAATACAACTTCTAAAGGCTAGGTCAACCCCTCTCTATAAGTTCTCTAAGAAGGGCAAAAGACCAATCTGCCCCTCTAATGGCTCATAAGTCCAACCACTGACTAAACCCTAATAGTCAACAAAAGTCAACGGTCAACATTGACCGGACTCGCCGAGTGCAATAGAGTGACTCGGCGAGTACATGCCTATACTCTTCGTCCCTGGTCCTCCCTTGACTCGCTGGGTCAACCCGGTGCTCCATGGGTCATCACAGGTCGCGAGTCGCGGGGCAACCTGACTCGACTCGTCGAGGCCCTCATGGGCTCGGCGAGTTCTTCCCATGAAAACTCTAAAAAGACCTCTTGAGGTCAGATCTGCTTCACCAAATAGTAGATCCATCCTCCTAACACTCAAAAGTCACGTAAAGGTTAAAACTTTACGTTCATGCAATGCTTATAAGACCAAAAATGGAGGAATAACCTTTTAAATGAGATTTTACTCTCAAGGCTCACATGTAACCTCATAAAGCTGGAAGCTTGGGCCCTTTTGGACCTCTCAAGGTCCAGATATATCATCTATACTCAAAGGGACCTCATATGCCTTACAATCTAACTCAAAATGGTGTAAGGAAACCCTAGATTCAAGGAATCTATCAAATACACGAAATGGTAAGGAACTTGTACCTCAAAACGTGAATTTCAGTGTGAATAACACAGATCTAAGCTCCCCAACCGATCTAGCTTGGATTTTCCCACTCCTTCTTGCAAGATCACACCAAAGGATGAAGAATTAGCCTCCAAAATGCTCTCTAAGCTCTCTTTTCTCTCTAGGGTTTTCTCAGGGGAGTAGTGGCCATAAGGGCCTTTAAATAGGGCTCAGGCCCTGAGATTTAGGGTTTCATTTTACAGCATGGACTCGCCGAGTCCATGCATCGACTCGTCGAGTCCATGCATCGACTCGTCGAGTCCCTCACTAATCCAGACAGGAATTCGCTATCCTACTCGGCGAGTCTGAGCGCCTACTCGCCGAGTCCCTCCCAAAAACTCAAGATAAATACTTAAAAAAAGATACCTGGGAATCCGGATGTTACAATTCTCCCCCACTAGAATCAGACTTCGCCCTCGAAGTCTTGCTCGGCAAACAACTCCGGATGCTGCTCTCGCATCTCTAATTCCGGCTCCCAAGTCAGCTCAGACCCTTTCCGATGTTGCCACTGGACCTGCACCAGGGGCACCTCCTTGTTCCTCAGAACCTTGGTCTTCCGATCCACAATCGCAACTGGCCTCTCAACATAATTCAGGCTGGCATTCACCTTAATATCCTCCAACGGTACCACCGCTGTCTCGTCGGCTATACACTTTCTCAATTGAGACACGTGGAAGGTATCATGGATCTGACTCAACTCCGCGGAT